AGCCGGTGATTAGCCCAATATTGACAGCCTCAAACGGGACATCTTTTAGCACCTATATATATACTCACACACTCTTCAATGTGTGTGGAGATAAGATTTCAAACAAAACAGACAAACTATTAGCTTATCTCTGTACCGTGTTTGGAGCCACAAAAGAATTAGAAGCTGTTATCAATGGCCTCAGCATCTCTCCTCAGGTCATCGTCAGTCCTCGACAAGTCCGAATTCGTCAAGGGCCAAACGCTCCTCCGCCAGCCGGCCGCAGCCATCCGCTACGGCCCCAATGCCGCCACCTCAACTCTCACCATCCGCGCATCCTCGTACGCTGATGAGCTCGTCAAAACCGCGGTGCGTATAGTACACAAGCTTCGTAATCTTAACCATATGAACTTATATTTAGTTTCTTGCAAGCACTGTTATGCTAGCACAATTTTCCAACAATGACTAGATAATTGACAAGTGATCAAAATTGTGGGTGTATATAACCAATGTCCTAAAAAACGTTAGGTGCTCGTCACGTACGCGATTGTTACATGAAGTGATCAAAATTGTTGGTGTATATAATCAATGTCCTAAAGGTCGATAGCCGCTTGTCAAGTGATGGACTGTGACATTAAAAGTGTTTTTGGTGAGCATAAACTAGCTATAGCTTATTTGGTCAAACAAGAGCTTACTAAAAAAGATAGAGCTTATATCATAAGTTTTCTTGAGTAGTTTTTCAAATAAGGCCGTTAAAATTTGTATTTTAGGTGACTTATCAACTAATTTTACCAAATATTTTTATCATATCAGCTAGTTTTTAAGCCATCATCCATAATCTATCAGCTATAAACACAAAATTCACTCATGAACTAACTTATCAGCTATCAGCTAAGTTTACCAAATATACAGCAGTGTCCAAAATTGTTGGTGTACATAATCAATGTTCTAAAAGTAGTCAGCCGCTCGCCAGACGGTGAACTGTGACATTAATCAAAACGGTTGGCGTATATAACCAATGTCCTAAGAAGTTGCTAACCACTTGCCCGACAGTGTACTAAATTGATCAAATTGCTTGTGCACATAACCAATGTTCCAATCAAACTCGAGTCGATTCGAGCTCGAGCCTTAACTAGGTGACTCGTTGCATTTAAAAGCTCTAACCATGTGTAAAAAAACAATAGCACCTGATGAATCAAAACAAGGAATCCAAAGATCCCAATTGAACACAAAGATTATCTCGTGCGCAATAGATTCAAACCTTCGTATATATCAAGTCGTAGAGACTCTCATTGTCCTTTCTTAACGTCGAGTAATAAAATGGCAATATTAAGGATTATATAATAATGTTGATGAGTGTTTGGTATGCAGAAAACCATAGCCTCTCCAGGACGCGGGATTCTTGCCATGGACGAGTCAAATGCCACGTGTGGCAAGCGGTTGGCTTCTATAGGCCTAGAGAACACTGAGGCCAATCGCCAGGCTTACCGGACCTTGCTCGTCACTGCTCCCGGGCTCGGAAACTACATTTCGGGCGCAATTCTCTTTGAGGAAACTCTTTACCAGTCGACTACCGATGGCAAAAAAATGGTTGATGTTCTTGTCGAGCAGAACATTGTTCCTGGAATAAAAGTCGACAAGGTGATAAAACGCTTATGATCAAACAATAATTAAGCTAATGATTAATTATATATATGTTTTTTCGTGTTTTCTATTTTTTATTTTATTTTCGTTACTTGATTGATTAATACAGGGTTTGGTCCCACTTGCTGGCTCGAATGACGAGTCGTGGTGCCAAGGTCTCGATGGCCTTGCTTCGCGCTCTGCAGCTTATTACCAACAGGGTGCTCGTTTCGCCAAATGGTATTTTTGATATATTTCTAATTATTTTCAACCCCTAAAGAACAAATTTTAGTTGTTACAAATTTTAGCTGTAATTTTTTTTAGGCGTACTGTTGTGAGCATTCCCAATGGGCCATCTGCACTGGCCGTGAAGGAGGCCGCTTGGGGCCTGGCCCGTTATGCCGCCATCTCTCAGGTATATACATACATATATATGTATTGGATCTAATATACTGTGTTCACATAATGTTTTGTTTGGTTGATGACTATACAGGACAACGGTTTGGTCCCAATCGTGGAGCCGGAGATTCTTTTGGACGGTGAGCATGGAATCGACAGGACTTTCGAAGTGGCCCAGAAGGTGTGGGCCGAGGTTTTCTTCTACTTGGCTGAGAACAATGTGTTGTTCGAGGGCATTCTACTCAAGCCCAGCATGGTGACACCTGGCGCCGAGTGCAAGGACAAGGCCACGCCCGAGAAAGTTTCCGGTTACACCCTCAAGCTCCTTTACAGGAGGATTCCCCCTGCTGTCCCTGGAATCATGGCAAGTTCTCGTATTCATACGCAGCAATTTTTCGTCTCGGTTTTCATGCTTTTTCTGTGCTTCGGTAACATAAAAGGATATACAGATAGATGCATATATGTATTATGCAAACACTCTATTAGCCTTCTACATGAGAGTGTATATACGGTTTTCTTGATCGACTAATTAATACTCGACACGAAAACAATAAAAAATCTT